TCTTTGCTGGGAGAGGTAAGGGTAGTACTGCAGTATTTGTTCAGGGGTCTGTCTTTCTGCTCCACAATCACAGGCAGCAGATTCTTTTATGCCTATCCTGTACAGGTGTGCTTGAAGACCACAGTGTCCAGTCCGAAGTCTAAAAACTGATGTTTGTTCTTTTCTGTTGAGTCTGTTTACGTTGTCACTCTCTGGTCTTTAATTTCCATTCTGCCTTCTCCACTCCCGCTTGAAAGACTGCTTTAGCGCTGTTTTGGTTTCCTTGTACTGTGTGGTGGATAAGGTTGTGGAAGATTACTCCTAGCTTTTGCCAACTCATCTGCTCTCTCATTTCCTTGAATACCACAGTGGGCTGGTATCCACTGCAAGACCAGTTCTGCTTCCTTGGAGAGTCTGCCAATGTTGGTCTTTAGATTTGCAATTAGTGTGTCTTTTTTTTTAGTGCTTAGAGAACAGACAATGAGTATTACTGGAACCAAAATCCATATATAGAAGTTTACAGAATGCCCATGACATCTTTGAAGTAGTTTCCCCTAAAGATAAAATCGTGTAGAATAATCAGTTATTGCACACCAAGGAAACAATTTGCTCACTATGATAATGACACAATGCTATCAAGATTATTTAATGATTTATAGTCAGTGTCTAATTATTCTTAGTAAAATACCTATCATAATCACAACTTAAATCTAATTCGCTTAGGCTCTTCATTAGAACAACCTAGACTGCAGTGTATACCACGTGACTGAGGTTTGGAAGGCAATGAAATAGCGGACAGATTATCCAGAAGCGGCAGTGACATGGTACAACTAAATAGTGACTAAACCCACCAAGAGATTAAAACATTAAAACAATCTGGTATCCCAGAAAAGTGGTTGGATAGACACACCAAATTCTCTCCTCAAAACTTTTCGGTGCAGGAACCATAGATGTGTGTCCCTGCAGCGTGGCTCCGAAAAAGCTGAGCGTGTTCTTTAACACTAATAACTGTATGTTGACAACAGAGATACAATCTGGCCTTTTTCAACCACAATGAAGACACAGCTGTATGGTACACGAGAAGATATCGACTGCACGAAAGCTTTCATACAGGCTACCAGCCTCCTGATTTAGGTTTTTTGACAGAAGGATTGAAGAAGAATACAACTCAAAGCAAAACCTGAAACTGTACAAACCGCATTTTGATCATATGAGTAATTACATGATATATACATTTTAAAACAAAAAACAAATATAAACTCTTAGAACTCATTTAACACTGTATATCCCAACTATAACCCTGAGGGTTCAATAGGATATTATAGAAAAATTACTACTACTTATCTGCAGCGTTAGCTCAGTCGATAGGAGACTCACTTTCAAATCCAGCTGTGACTCGCTGCAGCCCACGGACGGTGTTCGAAACGAACACTCAGGGGTAAAAGGAGGAGAGTCGCTGTAGCTATGGAATTACGTACGGACGACGACATAGACGGGTAATTTCTTATCAGCTGTCCGTACTGGTGGCAGGGCACTTATGGTTTATAACCGTGTGCAATGACGCTGGTTCAAATCTCCCGACTTTACCTTTTTCACCCTTTTTTGAACGGTGTTTCTTTGTGTCACATGTGTTGTGTGCGGTCCTGGCGGGGCTGAAGTCACTCACTCACTGACTTTAAAAAAAGCAGAGCAGTTAAGAATTTCTTGTAGATGTACGTATGCCTTCTAATTTCCCGTAACTACACAGTATGCAGCACTCTTTCGTGAACAGACCGGGTAGTTTACCCGATGATTTCTTTCTGTTTTGTCAACTTTGGCTTTTTTCCAACTTTTTTGTTTTGTTTTTGTTTGGCGTCTGCAAAGCAGCGGTTATCTTCTATACTGATATTTACGATCTCCGACATTTGCATGCTATGACCATATAGGCGTTTACTTTTGCATGATTATTTTATCATTTAGACATCAAAACAAGAAATATGAGGCTGGCTTAAGATAGTCCATGTCACAGATAAGCAAGAATGTAAACATTATTAAAGACTACCAGAGAGAGAGAGAGAAAGAGAGAGAGAGAGAGAGAGAGAGAGAGAGAGAGAGAGAGAGAGAGAGAGAGAGAGAAATTTAAGCATGACAAAAGAATCTTTGTAGAAACGAGGACAGAAATAATAATGCAGATAGGTAAACAAATGCGGCTATCTTCCGAATAACAGTAGCAAATTACCGAGGCCAAAAGTATTTTCTAACAGGGCCTCAGTCACGTGTCAGTTACGAACTTCCGGGGACTATACCGCCACCGCCGAAGTATCTCCCACGTCGCGCGTAGCGGCGTGGATTATGGATGAACTGGATGGCTGGGACTCATGAGCAGCAGCTACGTCATCTCCTGCAGCTTTCTTCATTTTATTTGCTTGTAAGTCCCAGCCATCTAGTTTAGGGAGATACCCTCGGCGGTGGCGGTAGTCACCGGAAGTGCGCAATTTAAGTCCCCGGAAGTACGCAATTGACACGTGACTGAGGCCCTGTTAGAAAATACTTTTGGCCTCGGTAATTTGCTACCGTTATTCGGAAGATAGCCACAAATGCATATGACTACAGCAATGTGTGATGTATAACACAGGCGTGAAATTTGGGGGAACCCCTGCTGTCGGTGAAACAGTATAATAATAAAATTAACTTTTGCTGATTGGCACTCATAGACAGTAACTTTAGGTTTCGATTTGTATGTTGTCTAGTATGACCTACTGCCAGCTTCTTTCTTCTCCATCTCCCTCCTCTCTCTCTCTCTCTCTCTCTCTCTCTCTCTCTATTCACACACACACACACACACACACACATGGCTATTCATTTATTTCAGTGTTTACCATTCTGTTTATAACAAATCATTTTGGTAATGATTTATGTATTGCTTTTGATTAGGGATAATTTACTGAATTTTTCTTAACCATCGCCATCATGACTAGGCAATCAACATATAGAGCCACAGATGAGATCACATTGAAAATACTCTAGGCCTTGTATGTATGGTGAGATACAAATGAAAAGAATTGCAGAAATTACAAAGAGGAAATCTAGAAACTAGAAGGAGGAAAATTAATAATACTGTAAATTCTCTTGGTGTTTGGTCAAGAGTCGCACTGTGGAAAAGATTTGAGCCCATCTGTGGATGCACCAACAGTCCCCATTGTGGAGACATCTCAAATGATTTTGTATGATACACCACCGAAAAGAAGAACTGGTAAAATACTTGACAATTTGAGCGACTACTACAAGTGGAAGGTTTTTGATTTCAGTGTTGTGGCATGACAGCTATTGACTTTTTAGAGCAAAATTTGTTTTGTAAAATGTGTGGCCATTTAAAAATTTTTTTTTAAATGTTAGTTACAGCAAAGTTCTGGAACAGAAAGAAGAACTAGAACAAAAACATCTTCACTTGCTGCAGATACTGGACAGTGAAAGACAAGCAAAATGGCATTATGTTCAACAAACAGAAGAGTTAGTGCTTGAAGTGAAGAAGCTAAAAGAGGAGGTAAGTTATCGTTGCTTAGAAATATGAAGATTGTATCTAGTTATATTATCTGGCATTATCAGAGCAATGGTAGATTAATGTGTCTAATGATCTTTCAGCTCAGCACAGCTTAGTATATTAGCAACCCTAGTTAAAGACATCTGATTTTAAAAATCTCTTTAAAAAAAATAAAACATTAAGGTTCAGATAGAAACAATGCAAAACTTAAAAATGCCATTCATAAACATACAAATGGTGCAAGATTCTTGGTTCAAGAAAAGTTCTTAACTTGAACATAGTAAGTGAACGCCATTCTTCATAATTTGTTGATACTAGAATATTTGGCTTTCTGCTACATCACATCTTAATGACACTAACCAACGACTGTATAAATACATTTTGTCTGGCAGAGTCCAAATTCTACCTAACTGTAGTTATCATGAAAGATTTTCTTGCAAATGAAAAGTAGAACCAGTTGTCTTCAGTGTGATCCAACATCTTCATGTCATTTCCCTTCTACTGTTTTCACTAATTCCATTGCTAATTGTCATCATTACTTATTTTAATATAAATTTTCATCACTGTCATGTTTTTTCCCCCGAAAGCACTGACATATAGTATTAAAGGAGCAACTGAGAGAAAGGACAATGTAAATTTGAGAATTTTAAATATATAAATTTAGAGACACTTGTGCCTGATTACTTTTTCTTGAATCATTAGCATTCCTTCATAACATACACGTTGCTTTCATTACTGTGAAAGAGTGTTAAAATGAAATACTTAAAACAGGTTTGTAAAAAAAGAAGTAATCATAAAAATACGATTCCCAGTTTACATTATTTCACTAAACAATATGGGGCTTAGTGATTGTGAACACAGTTTAATAAGTCTGGCATTCCATGGCTTAAAATCAGTTATATAAGATTTGGTAATAGACTGCTTTACATGCAGTGATCTTGACAATGTTATCTTCCTACTTCTTCTGGGTTTGCCTTTAACAGAGCAGTTTAATACCTTGTATTGTTATTTACAGCTAGACTGATGTCTGCACAAAGACTGATACCTGCACTTTGTGACAAAGCACAACTTATTGAAGCAAACTCCTAATTGGTCACCTTTTTCGCCAAGTGTGTTTGAGGGCAGTGGGTCTAACTTTCGGTCCCTCAAAATAGGGTCCTAAAACCCATACAGGGCTGACAGTTGTAAGCGCCATACAAAATATATTGTAAATTACCTGGCGAAATCGTGCAACAGCCAGTAAATACTGGGCTTGGTTTGCCAGATCCTGAAGATATCTGAATTTTTTTTTTAACAGTGTGGTAGAAACACTGAATACGCTAACTGAATCAATAATAAGCAAATGCCAATCTGTAGAAACAGGTCTTAAAATATATATTTTCTTTTGCTTTACTTTTTTTTTTTTTTTGCACGATGCATTTGTAATTGTGACATGAAGAGGATTGCACCATTGCATGTCACTAATGATTAACATTCTTTGTCCAAGGCTGGCAAAAAAACCATCTTCCATAAACAGCTACTGAATTATTAGTATGCAAAAAACAACATTGAAAAACTGATCCAAAAAAAAAAAAATAGTGGCATGGAAAATGAGTCTTAAACTAAAACGAACTGGTAGACTACCATCAACACTGGGAGAATATGAACCACATAGAGATACATGGAGTAATGCTGCTGTGTTTGCTAACGATGTTTGTGAAGGTTTCCGTGTAGGCGTGGAAACATGTGCTGTGTTGATAAATTTGGAAGATGTATACAATATGGTTACCTTTGAAAACTTATACACCAGCTCCTAAATATCAACATTTCCCCAACACTCATTAACTGGATAGCAGCAGCACTCTTCAAGAGACAGGTCATTTTCAAATATGGAAAATGGATCTCTGAATTGAAAACCATACACCAAGGATTACCTCTGCAAAAGTGACTGCAATATGGTTTTCCGTGAAAAGTCACTTAGTTCACATAATAACACCCTCTGTGCATATGAATGGTGATGAAATATCAAGGACTAGACTTTGAAAACACTTGGGAGTGAGTTTTGATCAAAGCCTTGGCTGCAGATTCTAATTGTATACTATGGTCAACAAGACCAGAAAGGGTTTGGCTGCAATGCCAGTTATGGCTGCCATGTGCAGTCAGAAAAGGCTGTTAGTCAACCTCTATCAGGGTTTGCTCCTCTTTGTCAGAGAATATGCACTGGCAATCCTCACCCTCAGCAAGATACAAATTGACTGACTGGAAAAGGTAAAAAATGAAGCAATGCACATCATACTTTGCTGCACCAAAGACTCATCATGTAGAGCAATGAGATACCTACTAGATCTAAACAGCATGCTTGAACTGTGGCAAGAATGTGCCTACCTCAAAACCTTCCGGTCAAAATGGATGCTAGGCAGTGGCACTTTTCGGAGCCGAGGCAAATTTTTTGCTTCTGCCGGACGGTGGCTGATGCATTTTTGCTCCATTTGGAGACTGGATACTTTTGTCACCCAGCTTTTGAGCTGAATGCATGGCGTGACACTGTGAGCTGCGGATTTCATTTGGAATGTTTTTTCAACTGTGACCAACGTGGTGGTGTGAATTGTAGATTAAGAAAATGGCGCGATGCCTGTCGTCGCAATGTTGGTGGTACCCGTATGTGATTAAAATTGATCGTGTGGGCAACTGCTGATCTGTTGGTGACTTCTGCTACCATCAGTGATGAACTGCATTTACTTCTAATGTTGGAGTGTTTGTGTTAGCACTTCGGATGGCTATCGTATGCTTTAATGTGTGTGTATGCTAGATATGCTGGGACAGCAGTCTGTCAATCTCTCCATAAGGGACTGGGATAAACATTCGGTGTTTTTCGTTGGCACAGGAGCGGAGCAAAGATGAGCTGACCCGTTTGCTATGATGCTGAAACTAAGACTACTACTATTACCTCAAAATCACTGAAGTCTTTACACATCCATGATGAACTGAATACGAGTGAAGGCAACAAACTTAAATGAGGCCAGTCTTGGTTGGGCCGTGCAGAGACAATACTTAAATGAGTGATTTCCTTTCACAACATAAACTGTTGAGAGGAATTGATACACATATACATGATGGTTCATTAGAGGGAGACCACAAGATGGGACCACAGTATAAATGTAATGCACCTCCAGAAGACTCAACAAACTTCAGAGCAGAGCAGCAGGAAATTATTGATGCAACCAAAGTTCTTGCTATGGCAAGTTAGATATTGTGAGGGCTTTTTCTAAGCGAGTGAACAGTGGAAGCACAGATAGATCATTGCGGTCTGAGGAAAATGGCGCTGCGAGGAATTACCAGGGGATCTGGCAGACGCCAACACTCAGTGAAAGGGTGAGACGGATATACAGTCAGACAGTTACTGGTGTCATCGGAATTGGAACTCTTTGCTTACTACTGAAGATAGTGACGGAGCACTTATGAAAGTGTACTGAGTGTTGTAATATCGATTCTTAATTTCATATTCAACATTAAAAGTGCTTGAGGAAAGAAAAATGAAACATAGCAAAATTGTTTTCCTTTGTGACTGCTTGTCAGTCCTCTAGGTGTCTCAGAGGGTTAGGGTTAGGGTTTAAGGTAAAGAAGTAGTCAGGATCTCAGAGAATGTAAACTTGTCAACCCTCAGATCAACAGAAAGTTATTAAAGCAAAGTGTATTGTGCTATGCCTGAGATGATCCTAATGGTTTGAGGCAAATAATTTAGTGGAGCTCAAGCATCATAGATGAATACATTTAACTAGAGGCAGACATACATAAAATGTTGATGTAAGGCCAGACTTCATTTGTTTATAGCCTGAATGATAAAGGAAGTCACCAGTGGCTTTATGGCAAATATAAGTTGTAGTTTAGATAATACGTAGCCATGGTATTTCATTGTAAGAAAAACAACGCACATACATGTTCAAGCATACACACATACAAATGCATGTTTATAGACACATACACAAACTAAAAAACACACAAACTAACACAAGACTCATTAAATGAAGGAATTTCAGATGGTAAATAATTTTTAAAAAATGGACATTTCATCATCAGGGAGAAAGCTGTGTTGTCTGATGTAACTGTATAATTTGTATTGGAATGTGGTTATGTTTTTTTTTTCAGCTTCAGAAATTCAGAAAAGAGGTTCATGGCAGTCATTCCAAAGTAGATGAAGAAACAGACGACTTGAAGAAAATAAAAAAGGTTGCAATTTCAGTGGGTCTTACAATTTTCCTTTTATTACATGTCCTAGATAGCCCTTCCAGCCTTTTGGTGTTGCATCAGTCAAACAGCAGCACTGTTTGCCTGGCCATACACTACAGTTTAATCAGGAGTAGCTGAAATAGTCACTGTCACTCTATGTTACATTTGTTTAAATGTATCTGCTCACATAAAGCACCAAACCTACAAGGGGAACCTCATAGTCGGTCCAAAAATGTGTCTTTATTGTTGTCAACCATTGTATCTGAAACCTTATGTTCTTTCTTAAACAGTGAATGCAAGAAAAATTAGTACGTTCTCACATTTGCTATATGTCTATTAAGTTAAAATTTTAATCAAATTCATGTGTCAGAATGCCATGTGCAATTTCAACATCCAAAAAATGTGAAATATTATGTAATGTAATGTTGCTATATGGAACATTAGACAAACTGGATGACATTACTTGAGTCATTATGACTTGAGGGATCACATGGGAAAGTATAAAATAAAATCCTGTAGTGGTGTGCTTGCCAATAAAGGTTTATTTGGATAAAGATCTGATCAGAAAACTGCAAAACCACTCAGATGTTGCTTTCAGTGTTAAAACGGTAAATGAAATAGAGTTGGCTAGATCAGATTTTACAGTTTTGTAACTGTGGTTTCTTTTTCACCATATCACCAAGAATTAGAAATTAAAAAGTCAAGGTTCACACTTTTTTTAAATAATGTTTTGTACAGGGTTATTTTCATTTTCAAAGAATCTCATTATGTTATCTCCCTTCCCTAAACCGTAACTCTGAGTAGTTGACGGAATAACTTGACTTCTTGGATAGTGGCAAGCAATGTGTTATGAATCTCTCTGGACATCATCATCATTGCATAGGCATTTTTGTCTCTCCCTTAACCACAGTCCTAGTGCTTTGTTTAATTTTTTTTATTTCTATTTTTCTATGCTGTCATCTCATGTCATGCAGTATCATTAAAGACAACATGAAAGCTTAACACATATCACTCCAGCACTGTCATTTGTTTGAATAAACTCTCACACTAACTAGTCATCTCCTAGTGACATGCAATTTTTATTTAATTTGAAACTCCACCCTGGCTCTGGTCAGGGGCCATAATATAGCCCGGCCATAAATATGACCTAATGGCTGAATGCAGTTTCCGGGACCTCTCCACGGGTGATCCTCATCCAGAAGGTGGCACATTGTTTCATCGGGTGTTTATCGCTGTGTGTGATGTCCCAGTGGGGTAAAATCTGCTACTACTACTAATAAACTCTCACTAGACCCTAAGACATTTGGTGTAGCTCATTTTTTTCTTTAACCAAAAATGTAGAAAGCAGATTTTAATTACTAATTCGAGGTAATCTATTGGTTATAATTCAACTTGATATTGCCTATATTTGTTTTTATGTTCTTGTGATTAAAGTTGCACTTTTATGGTGTCTATTGTCTGTTTTCTTGTTAAAAAAATTTATTTTAAGACTAGGCTAGTCATTTCTTTTCCACATTTAGTGTCTAATACATATTTTTACATGTAAATTAAATTTTTTTAGATAGGGTGACCCATTTTTCATTATCTGAATACATTTTTTAAAAACTTTACTGTAAAAAAAAAACTTCTTAGTTTGTGTATTAATTGTATGAGACTGTAGCCCCATCTATTACCATAAACACATGTTTTATTATTAGCTGTACATTCTCTATCATTATGTGTACCTTTCTGTTTAGGGTTCAGTGTGTAAATAATTTGCAACATAAATATGTGAAACATGGTTATACATATAAATTTGGACATTTAAGCTATACAAAAAAAAACTTAAATGTTATCCCTATATTTGGAGATCTTATTTAGGTCATCAAGCATAATTATCATTACAAAAATCAGCACCCTCCCCTTCCCCCTTTTTTTTCCTAAATATTTTATGAGTTAAATGTAATGTAAAAAGAATATATTTAACTATGATAAGTATGAAAATCAAATAATCATTTTATTACAATGTCACATGTGTATAAGTGTGTATGTGTTCGTATAAGTGTACATGCATGTAGGCATTTGGTTGAGGTAAAGTAAAGGTAAGAGAATCTTACTTCATTGCATGGTTTATATCTCATATGGCTCAGTGTCTCTCAGCAGAACAGCTAGCTCCCTGCCAGGAGCATTACATAGAGCAGGAACTCCGTAGCTCCGAGGACGATCTCCAGGGATCAGTAAAAAATTGCATTTGTGAACTGAACGCGCAACCATGAAATAAATCCATGACCTTCAGAGTGTGAGGCAAATAGCTTGACCACTTGGTCAAGGAGAACTGCTAGGTGTCTGTATGTGTAGCATGTTTTTATAACTCAAGTTTGCCAAAGAACAAGTTATATAATATAAGCTATAGTTCAACGAACTAAAGTTGTGGTTTTAAAGCCTGATGGAGTTCTAGAATCAGTGTGTTTGGAATAGGAATGAGAGATGAGAACATTGATTTACTTTAGGTGAGGCTGTGGGAGGTATACTATATGGAGTTCACAGTTCACACCAGTTTTCAAGTATTAGGCCCAAATTCCACAATGTAGCCAACAGTTGAATTTTCATATAGCAGCTGGTCTGCTTATTTGTCATTTTTTTTTTTATTTCTTATATCCTTTATCATTTTCGTATGAGACTGATCTACCAACTTCTGTCATATCTCCACACATTTAGCGTGTAAAATATGGCGTGAATTGCCAACTCAAGGTCAAGGAAAAATAATTAAACCTTCTTTTGTGACCTTTCTGTCTACTACAGTAATATGAAGTGAATGGCTTATAGTGCTAGCCCATTTGTTGTTGCAGACAGGCTGGCACTTGTTAGGTGAAGGGTCAATGTCACAATAAATACCTTCACTTCTCAGAATGAAACCACAGTACCCATTTTAAGACTGGATTACCTTGAAGCCAAGGTACATTTTGTTTATAAACTCCTGCATCCAGGAGGATTTAAAAACATGGTAACAAGGCTAGCAAAAAGATATATTAACTGCTACACTACAGTTGCTCCCTGTTGTTTTTATCAAAAGTATTTAGTTTCAGTCTAAATCCACACAGTTTAACAATGTTTACAGCCAGATACTGTGCATTTTTTGATGCCACTTTTAGCAAAAAGTATTTAAGAACATTCACAATTAATTCCATACACCACAAACTTTTCTAATAAACCTGAATGTTTCTTAGTCAGATGAAGGCTAACTAGTAGTAGTAATTTAAACAACATCTTATTCTATTCCTCTGGATTATATATGAGGTCTGCAGAGTTTTTAGAATTTAATTTCTGTAATGGATATTTATATCTATCAATTATGTTTGTTTGCTAACTAGTCCAGTTTGGGTTAGTTAACCGAATAGAAAATTACTTCTTAACTGTATTGTAGGCAGCTAAAGATAGTTTGCATTATTCATTCTTTTCTCATATTTTCCGATACATATAGGTTCAAAGTTTCTTTCGAGGATGGTTGTGTAGGCGGCGATGGAAACAGATTGTAGACCTATATATCAGGTCCCCACATGCAGAGAGTATGCGGAAAAGAAACAGCATAGTTTTCAGGTGCATCAGAATATTCGTTCACAACTTTGGTATTATCGTACAACTTCATTACTGTCTTGTGACATTTGATTTCAGAATGTGTGATAGAGAATGTACAGTGAAGTAGGTAAGGACTGCATGAGCATAATAATTGTTCTATGCTTGTGATGCTTTTGCAGAAGAGACTGAAGAACCTGTAGATCTGTCCTGAGTGTTCTGATGATAGTCATCACTAGCCATTGTGTTGAATGAGGAGGTAAAGTGGTAGTTCTGGTCAGCAGCTACAGCAGAATTCATGCTGGTCATATTGACCATTTGAAGTGGTCACTGTATCGAGAAGAGGAGATGGTATAGTAGAAATAGTAATAACAGCATAACAGATGGTAGCTCCTGCAGGACTGCACCATTCATTGTTTCACACTGGTTCCCTTCATTAATTCTATCAGTGTGACAAATGATTATTGAATTGTGTTTTTTTTTTCCCATTTGATTGTGTTCCTTTTTAGCAACTGCTTCAAATAATTCAAATTTTGATGCTTAAAGGTTAAATTGAAAACATGTATTTTGCAATCATGATTCATAGCAAATATTCCATGCTCTTTGAAATTCCATTAGTCATTTGGGCAGAGGTAAAAATTATATTATCTTTAGTTTCTAAGCAAATGCTTTGACATGGTTTGCCATGAAAGCCACTAAGTGCAATAATATATTTCTCCTGTACTGTACAGTCAGTTCCACAGATATGTTGCTTAAAAAAAAACATTTTTAATGAAGCTAAAATTTAGGGTTAGTCCAATATTTTAATTTTACTAGTATTAAAAGATATCTTGAAAGATCTGAACATCAACCTTTAAATCCTGGCACAAGCAAGATTCTGTTGAAAAATAAAATGTCTTTAGTTCTGGAACAATGCCTGGAAAATGTTTGTAAATTCAGCTGAGGAAATAATGCCTTGACCTGGATGCTGAAGTTGTAGAAATAAACAAAAATGTTTGTAAATTCAGCTGAGGAAATAATGCCTTGACCTGGATGCTGAAGTTGTAGAAATAAACAAAAATGTTTGTAAATTCAGCTGAGGAAATAATGCCTTGACCTGGATGCTGAAGTTGTAGAAATAAACAAAAATATTTGTAAATTCAGCTGAGGAAATAATGCCTTGACCTGGATGCTGAAGTTGTAGAAATAAACAAAAATGTTTGTAAATTCAGCTGAGGAAATAATGCCTTGACCTGGATGCTGAAGTTGTAGAAATAAACAAAAATGTTTGTAAATTCAGCTGAGGAAATAATGCCTTGACCTGGATGCTGAAGTTGTAGAAATAAACAAAAATGTTTGTAAATTCAGCTGAGGAAATAATGCCTTGACCTGGATGCTGAAGTTGTAGAAATAAACAAAAATGTTTGTAAATTCAGCTGAGGAAATAATGCCTTGACCTGGATGCTGAAGTTGTAGAAATAAACAAAAATGTTTGTAAATTCAGCTGAGGAAATAATGCCTTGACCTGGATGCTGAAGTTGTAGAAATAAACAAAAATGTTTGTAAATTCAGCTGAGGAAATAATGCCTTGACCTGGATGCTGAAGTTGTAGAAATAAACAAAAATGTTTGTAAATTCAGCTGAGGAAATAATGCCTTGACCTGGATGCTGAAGTTGTAGAAATAAACAAAAATGTTTGTAAATTCAGCTGAGGAAATAATGCCTTGACCTGGATGCTGAAGTTGTAGAAATAAACAAAAATGTTTGTAAATTCAGCTGAGGAAATAATGCCTTGACCTGGATGCTGAAGTTGTAGAAATAAACAAAAATGTTTGTAAATTCAGCTGAGGAAATAATGCCTTGACCTGGATGCTGAAGTTGTAGAAATAAACAAAAATGTTTGTAAATTCAGCTGAGGAAATAATGCCTTGACCTGGATGCTGAAGTTGTAGAAATAAAACAAAAATGTTTGTAAATTCAGCTGAGGAAATAATGCCTTGACCTGGATGCTGAAGTTGTAGAAATAAACAAAAATGTTTGTAAATTCAGCTGAGGAAATAATGCCTTGACCTGGATGCTGAAGTTGTAGAAATAAACAAAAATGTTTGTAAATTCAGCTGAGGAAATAATGCCTTGACCTGGATGCTGAAGTTGTAGAAATAAACAAAAATGTTTGTAAATTCAGCTGAGGAAATAATGCCTTGACCTGGATGCTGAAGTTGTAGAAATAAACAAAAATGTTTGTAAATTCAGCTGAGGAAATAATGCCTTGACCTGGATGCTGAAGTTGTAGAAATAAACAAAATGTTTGTAAATTCAGCTGAGGAAATAATGCCTTGACCTGGATGCTGAAGTTGTAGAAATAAACAAAAATGTTTGTAAATTCAGCTGAGGAAATAATGCCTTGACCTGGATGCTGAAGTTGTAGAAATAAACAAAAATGTTTGTAAATTCAGCTGAGGAAATAATGCCTTGACCTGGATGCTGAAGTTGTAGAAATAAACAAAAATGTTTGTAAATTCAGCTGAGGAAATAATGCCTTGAGCTGGATGCTGAAGTTGTAGAAATAAACAAAAATGTTTGCTTTGGTTGAGGTTTCATGCAAAAGCAAACGTAGAATTTATGAACCATTTCAAATCAATTAGATGACTTTCATAGTGTGTTTGACAGAGGGAAGTTGGTCTTAACCTCTAAAATGAGTGCTGTCATCAACTCAGAAAAGGCAGCTTTTTTTGTGGTGCTCTCTGGACAATAGAATTGTAAACGCTTATGTTCCAAGTCTCACAATTAAAAACAGAAACATCAAAAGACAAAGCAGAGGTAATGGATATTATTCAGTGATCATGTGGAACAAGTTGCGATGAAATGCAAGAAATGACTCAATGCTCTCAAGATTATGGCAACAATGGACATGATACAAGAAATGCTGTTCTCTGTTTTCCAGCATGTTATCCTGTCGGTGACAGATTATGAACTTGGAATGCTTACCATATAAAAAAGAGTCAGCTGACGGTAGTATGTATGCAATATATACTTGCACTGCATTTTATTGCAGATAGGCTCAAAGTTCTACAAGCAAAATCATATCTCAGAGTAGCTGCGGACAAGAGGCACCTTCTTCATGAAGCCCTGGATAGAGCTAAGGGTCACAGGCTGAAAAAAAGAAAGGTCTTGGATGGCGCAAGCTGAAGACAAAATTAGACATGTGTGCAGGCATTGTCAATTTGGACAAAGAGAGGATTGGGTCAAAGTATCTGAGCAAGAATTAGGCTTGTGTGGGGTTCTCATCACTTAAGTTGTTAGTGCAGAGACTGGCCAGCTGGTGCTGCAGAATCAGAAGTTCAACAAATTGTTAATGAGAATTCCCACTGAGGTAACGTGATTATCTATGTAGATGGCGCTGTGTTGTCGTAGCAAAAGTGAATAGAAGTCACTTAGTGCAGCAAAGTCTGGCATATGATGTCAAAATGTCTGGTTTAAGAATGAAGGTGGAGGCAGTCACTGCTTCCTTGAGAATCAGCTGTACATACATGAGGTAATTATAACTGACTGCCAAAGTGTGTCAAAAAAGGTGGAGATAGGCATGCTGTGTGCAGAATAGCAAGCATAACTTCAGATGTCCTGGGTAGTCAGCAACCTTTGGATATTTTCTCTAGGTCATACCGGTGTGTTAGGAAATGAGCAGGCAGATAGACTGGCCGGTTCTGCACCAGTTGGTGGTGAACTGATGTATGACAAGCTAGGTGTTATGAAGGCACTTTATGAGTGAGTGAACAGTGTGGAGATACAGATTATTATGGCTTGATGAGAATAGCACTGCGAGTAGTTACCAGGGGATCTGGCCGATGTTCAACACTTTACTCTTTAAGTCCCAAGGAATGCATCATACGTTCATAGGTTCCTACCTAGAAGCCCAATGAACGCATGATGCGCCAGTTTTATTACTTTCTTTACTACCCCCTGGGCCTGTGATGCTAAACCCTCTGGGACTCAAAGAGTTAAGGGAAAGGCGAGACAGAACTCTTCGCTTGCTGCTGAAGATGGGAATGGTGTGCATATGGGTGCTATGATGTCAATTATTAATTCAACATTATCCTCTAGAATAAAACCTAAGATCCTTTAAAGGAATACCTCTCATCTGACATTAGAATTCCACTCTTAACCACAAGTTACGGAACAAATGCCGAGTTAACTTAGAAACAAAGTAGGTGGTATGATAAACAAATTGTACCTTACCGACTGGCACTCACTGATGCAGAAGAATAAAATAGAGACACATCCGTTTATGTGTATTAAGTTGAGTTGAGTCAAGAGTTATGTGAAACACAATTGTTAGTTCTGTGTAGGTGGTGCCCATATTTAATATCTCTCAGTAGGGATAAATTGTCTCGACTAGATTGTAATGAAGGAATTTGAAACTTGTAAACTAATTTCCCTACAATGGAATGTATGTAAAATATTATGGAGGGAATTGGCAATTAAAGATGAGTACATTTTCAAACAGGTTTATGAACAGTCTCTCAGATATATTTATAGTCGAGTGACATGTTCATGAACTTTACTACAGTTTATGAAAAAAAGTGAAATAACATGAGATTGAACTTTTAAACACCAAGACAAATGTAGAAATGGTACACTTTCAGTTTCTAAAGTTAACAATTATTATTTCAATCTTCCAACAGCATGGTGGAGTGTGAAGAAGAGTACAATAGACAGCTATCATGTCTGGTCACTTGCTTTCTCAGGCCTCTTCGCATGGCAGCTAGCTCCAAGAAACCTCCTATCTCACATGAAGATGTCAATTCTATTTTTTTGAACAGGTCTGAAAAAAAATATTTTAATTATTTATGTGTTTTCTGTTAACACAGTTTACTTCAGGAGAAGTAAATCATGCAATCATGTATAGTGTAAAATGAAATGAGTGATAGTCTGCAGGTGGTTATTTGCATGTATATGAAGTCTGACCCCAAGATCAATCACTAAATCTTGTATCAATAAGTGCATGATCACTCATTCTTTATAATAATCAACTCTAGATTATCATATAAAAATACAAACACAAATCATCTAATGTGAAGATGACGGGAAGAAGAATACCTCATGAGGAACTGAGCACACCGAGCATGGCTGGCATATTAACCACTTTTTTAGGGTCATCTTTCTTTGTCTGTAATTTAGAATTGGTTCTGTGCCAACTTGTTCCGTTTGACATAGTTCATGATTTAATCTCTTCTGTTCATTCACACAGCCCTTCTCATACATCTCATTTCCATGGTTACAAATTTTATTTTCTGGTTTGTTGCGACTGACCATGTCTGGCACTGGTACATAGAGTGGGAATGAATATATTGTGTTTTAAAATAAAATTGGGGGGGGGAGGGGGGGGGGGGGGGGGCTAGCTGTCTCACTATTTGGTTTGATTCATTGCATCTGATCTCTATTTTATTCATCTAATTTACCATCTTAGGTGAATGTTGATCCCAGATATGAAAACTCAGATGCCTATTAAATGTCTTTGCACTCTACTGGTGATAAGACACATCCTTGTCTTACTTAAAATGTTACTGTAAATGAGTTAGATGGTCCCTGATTTATTCTCACTATTCTTCTACAATCCCTACATAAATTTTCCACACTCTGATGAGGTATTTGCTTACTCCATATAGAGCTATTACTTTTCATAATATTTGTCTACTGACTCATTGAAATTCCTTTCCTTGTCTATGAATGTCAAAAATAAGTTCTTTTCATATTCGATGTTCTCTTCTACTTTCCATTTATTTAAGTATGAAGATTGCATCTGTATAGCTTCTATTTCTCCTAAATCCCATGTTCTTTTATCCTGTAGTTCTGTCACTGATCTCAGCTTTATTTATGTTATCTTGGCATACATTTTCTAGACATGACTTAAAAGAGAGATACCTCTGTACTGACTGCAATCTCGCTTGCTTCCTTTGTTTTTGCACAGTGGTATAACTATTGCATCTTGCTGGTCAATAAGAGCAGTTTGTTGTAGCTGTGCTGTATTAAATATTTTTTGTTGCTTTACTCTGCTGCTTGGATTATTTCTGTTGGTAATCTATCAGCTCCTGATGATTTATATTGTGGAGACTACATAATTACTTTTCTAATTCACCCAATAGTATATCTGGTATTAGCACTGTTGCTGTGTGGTCTTGAGTTGTTCTTTCCTGGTGTTTCCCAGCGGATTAAAGAGAACATTGAAGCAATAACTCCATATTTCTGCTACTTGTTATGGATCTATTCATGGCCTGCCTTCTCACCTTCTCATGTATGGCATTAACATGTGATCTCCACTCTTGCCGGTCTATTGTATTTATGCTCACTGTATCTTTTTCTTTCTGCTGTCTAGCAGAGAGATGTCCTTGTCAAAGTGTCAGGAGGCATTCTGCAAACGTGTCAAAGTCTGTACTCTGGCCATCTCCATCTTCTCTTGATTACACTTGCCAGTGTCATGTAGTTTTCCTTCACAGTTCTCCATTTAAATAAATAGGAGCTGCAAGGTTTTAAAATTATTACTGGTTGTTGACTACCTGAAAAAGTTTGTTTCCAGATGTCCAAAAAAATGATAAATCACAACTTCAATCTCAGTGCAAGCCCCAAGAGATTTTGTGTATGAGTGCACATACTTTTACACTAACTGGCACCATAAAATTAAGACTGGTTTTGTGTAACATGAAAGAAAACTGTTTCTAACGTCCTATGACAAGTATTTATAGCATTGCATGTACTAGATTTTATAAATTGTGCTGCCAACCCTGTGGGTATATATACTTATATAGTGAGTGTGAAGGTTTGAACCCTAACAGTGCCCACCCACGTGAGAAACTGGACTAATATGTAAGCAATGTTGATCCTAGACAGTCCTGGATAACCAAGAAAACAGCAAATGGCTTGTTCCATTAAATGAAAATAGCTGTACTTGTATCCACAGGAGTAGGAGAAGAGATAGATAGATATCAAGATGAACCAAATGAGATAATATCAAGATACACAGTTAACCCCTTCGACTTTCTCCTCTCCTGGTATTAATTTGTAATAAAAGCCCCCATCAAGTGATTTAAATATTTGTGAGTTGTAGTAAACTAGTATTCACAAAGACACTTGAACCTAAGTACACAATTTACTCAACTATTTTAAAACAACATGAACAAGATTTATTGAATAAATCTAACCAAAAATGAAATGAATGTGTTTAGGCTAGTAGAGTGAAGATGGTGTTACTGATGAAATTAATTCATAACTCATAAAATTGGTGAAAATAAACCTCGACAGTTCTCAGTTTGAGACCCTGCCTATCCTTTTCCACTTTGTCGTCCTCGCTGCTTCAAGCAGGTCATTACATGCAGATGGTCGGCAAAGAATGGATGCCGACTTGTCCCTGCCTAATGTGGGAACTGTGGTAAAGAAACAAGCGCATATGTTTAGTCTCCATACTTACACAAAACATGTCTATTCTAATAAAACTTTTCATCTCTCCCTCATATTCACACTCTCTCCTGTCCAGGCTGGAAGAACCTTGTCTCACATTGTAGTCATTACATTTCCTGCCTTCCTCTACTCACGTCCTGTAATGATAGTTGAGTCTTCTATGTCTGATATCATCTCTCACGCAGACTCAAAATGACAATCAGTTTGACAGAACAAGTTCTGGAATCAATGCTTGAAATAATGGGCGCCCAGAATGATAACAATATTTCAAATAACTCATCTCAGGGATTTTCTCATCAGGATCAATCTCCGCATTAGTCTCCCTGGAGTTGAACACATTTCAGTGTGTTAGCTGTATGTAATATAGATTGAAATTAACCACATGTCACAAGACTGCCAAAGTTATCTTCACGCTTGTGGTGCGGTGATTTATGTCACAGGCGTGAGGGGAAGTTAAGTCCAACTTGATGTGTATAAGGAGATACTCCGTACGTCACTCGGGCGCCAGTCCTTTACTATCCTGGTTGTACGGAACCTCGCGCAAGACCCCTACAGCACGTCCTCGTCGTGCGCCACGGATAATGTCTCAAATGAGCATTAACAGAGCTGTCAGGAGATCTCGGAGTTCGGCGGCCCCCAGAGGTGATGTGTCCTTGTGGCTCTCATCAGCCCGCCCCCAAACGCTTGGGTGAAAAAAAAGTTACCAAAACTCATTAGGAACATGAGTAGGTCTGCCAAACGTACAGCCAAAATTACAACCCTTGGTTAAAAGACTGCGGAGTAAAGAGAACATTGTTCACTGCACATCCTCTGTTAACCCTCAGTGTCGTCGTCACCGCGCTGAGGTACACCACAACAGCAACCATCCATAGGCTGGCCATCCTTGTACATCCTCGGATGTAAAATTCTGTCGGGCTAACGGCTCGTCAAAGAAATCTAACGTGCGAGGAAAAAAGAATGTACCTATCTGTGTGTTCACAAAAGTCCAAAACCCACGGGCTGCTCCCCGCTGACTTCCAGAGGGCCCAGCCCCTGTCGAGCGGGAGGCCTGATTCGGTTGTGAGGTTAAGCAGGCATGTGCACGACGTGACGATTCCTTGGGTGAGCCCAGAACCAGAGCGCCATGTGCTGGCTCTGCATGCATGGAAGCCTCCTTGGATGGCGGGGAATGCCCATGATCTGCCCCTGCCTTCCCTTGAGGGCTAACTGTTCCACAGGGGGCTGCCCCAAAGGGGTACTCCGAGGGCAATATCTGCGGCGAAGGGGACAAAGTGGACACCACACAAATCAGGCAGTCACGACCCACACAAAACAATGGCCACAGTCAACCTAGAAATAGGCCTGACATCTTCCTTCGAAGTCGGAGTACAGCTGCCCATGAGGCAGGGAAATGAAAAACGGTTGTACACGCAAAAATCAGGTCCAGGTGAAAGCCAAAAGTCCAAGCGGTCGATTAACCGGGACCTTCCACTGAAATTCACAGCCGGTGATCGATTAAAAAAAAACAAATCTTCACGCTTGTGATTTCAGAAAAATGCTAGTTCATTAAATTTCAATGGTAACATCAACATTTAAGTCATACAGCATTGAAACACATGTGCACGAAAAAACATTCATGACAATATCAGTTACGATATAAGCAATTTTACAATGCCCTAAGAGAATGGAGAAATGTCCGCTAAGGAGTACTACAAAGTGATGAAGACACACACTTGAGCAAGGAGACATTTGAGATTTCTATCATGAAATAAAGATTGAAAATAGTTACGCTTACCTGGAAAATGAAAACACTACCAAAAGTTATGACTCAAGCTTAGGGTTTAAGCCCAATAGATGCTGTGCTGATGGCAGAGTCTCACTTCCCAGCCCTAGAGGTTACCCTTTTATAACTTTTCCCAAGCTCCTTCTACTTTACTCCTAAAACCACTCTCATTCAAGAATGTCACAGCTCCTCCCCGTGGGTGTCTATTCACTGTCAGTCAGGACTGTACAACACTTGTATGCATTCCCACGGTTACATTCTCCTGATCCATCAAGCCAGCCAGAGCTCATAAGTCACACCTTCCATCCTGCCAAGTTCTGTTAACTAACACCTCCTGCAGACCATGTCAAAACTAGTGATGCGACCTGCACTCAAGTGGGGGTAACCTCAGGGGCTAGGAGATAATTATCTGACACTTCAGTTCTGCAAGCAAAATCTACAGCCACTAAGTCTGAGTTTTCAATTTCACTGGTCCCACTTAGTTTTCCTGCTCAGTCTTATTTGTACCTTAACACTTTACATCTGGGGAAAAGTCTCAGTGTTTGATATCACCAGCAGTCCAGGAGAATTAAATATGGTTGTTTTGGTCGCCTTACTTAGATTTAG